AGCTTCAAGTGGTAAACTCATGTTTATGAGGTTTTTTTTTTGGATGACCTTGACCTTTGACCTTGATACCATCAAATTTATCAAATATCCTTATAAAACTGTTTTCAAATGTCTCTCCGTACCCTTCAAGCCTGACGTATAAAAAAAGTTCTTCCTCCTGGTGAGAAAAGCCTTCGTATCTTTACGCATTCGAAACCATTGACCGTAGCGATGCGAAACCTTAAACAGTGTCTTCGACAACTTTAAAAACTTTTACCTTCAAATTTAGGTCAAGGTCAAAGGTCAAGGTCCTTAAAAACACATATTATTAGGTCTTTCCACCTTTCTGTGGAAAGATCTCTTGAAATGCTTATGATTATTAGGTCTTTCCACCTTTCTGTGGAAAGACCTCTTGAAATGCTTATGTTTGTTATTATTATTTTTTTTCCGCCGGACTTTTGAAACCACAAGACTTATCGAAAAACTTTATAGTTCATGATACTGGATATCAAAAGTTATTCTGAAAAATGACCCAACGGATTTGAACTTTGACCCCTTACACAGTTATTACCCCTTTTGTCGTAAAGCTTGTTATCGCTACTCCTCCGAAACCGTAAACTGCAGAGTTTCCAGACCTTCACCTATGTCTACGACTTAATTAGTAGACTTTAATCCTTCATTGCGAAAGGGTTCGTAAACTCCTATGATGAATTATTGCCCCTGAATGTTTGCGATGTTTACAAATATCAAAATCTTTTCTTAAACAACATGTCGTACAGACATGGGGCCAACTGCGAAAGATTCTTTGACCTTTGACCTTAAAATTGAGGTCAAGGTCAAAAGTCAAGGTCATTCAAAATATGAAAAATTAAGTTCTTTTTATACCTCTTTTGTTTTTTATCAAATTTAAAACATCTTTGCATCTTCAATATGTACTCTTAAAACCATTTCAGAGATTTCATTCTTGTCCCCTAAGATTGACCCCTCTAAAAGTTAGTGCCCCCTTCAGTGTAAACCCTTGTTATCGCTACTCCTCCGAAACCATAAACCGTAGAGGTACGAAACCTTCAACAATGTCTGCGACTAGTTTTTTACACTTCTCACTCTATTAGTGCGAAAGAATTCGTAAACCATTTTAAGTAGTTATTGCCCCTGCCAGTTTATGATGTTTACGAAGAACAAAAAACTTCTTAACAACAAGTCATAAAGACATGGGCCCAACTGCATGAGATCTTTTGACCTTTGACCTTGAAGAATAGGTCAGGGTCAAAGGTCAAGGTCATTGAAAAACTAGAGGAATTGTCGATTTAAGCTTAAAATCCAAATGACCTTGACCTTTGACCTTGATATTTGACCTTGACCTTTGACCCCTTACTCAAAAAGTTGTATAAAGAAATATTCATTACCTTTATCTAGATTCAGCTTCAAGTGTTAATCTCAAGTTTATCTCTCTTTTTTTTGATGACCTTTGACCTTGATAAATGACCTTGACCTTTGACCCCCTTTGACCCAAAGGTCACAATCAAGCTTAAGGTCGTTGAGGTATTTGCAACTCTCACTCTAACAAATGCTTATATCCCCCCCCCACCCCCTTTCTTAAAAAAAAAATCAACAGCAGCCTAGAGAAAATGTCAACAAGTCAAAAGATACGATATATCAACATAAGATTCGGAATAAAAGCAAGAAAAGACCTTAAAGAAAGTGTCCTGAGAGTTTTAAGGTGAGTCTCTAAAATATAATGAAATTCTAGTGAAAATCGGCAAAATCTGCATTTTTTTTTTCTGTCTGAAATTTAGTTATTGCTGAGCATAAAAATTAATTAAAGCCACTATTGGCTATTTCTGCAATTGTTGTTGATATCATTCGATTCTCCTGCTCTATTACGACATTTCAATGCCAAGTATTCTTGCTTTCTTTAGTGTATGGAATTTATATGATGCAGGTACACATGGGACATTTCACAACGTTTTCACTTACGCTTCCGTCTTGATGCGCAGATCAAATGCATGTTATTCATATTAATAGGTATATCATAATTTTAATCAAACCCTACCTCTTACATCTTAACTTGATAACAATCTCATTCAAGCTCATATATACACATAGGAGCGTGTTACAGTGTTTTTTATGCGCTCTCTTTGTGTGATCAATGAATTCGTGCTTATCCCCGAGTCGACTACAAACAATCTAGGAAGTCTGTTTACGGTAAAATTATACCAACTGCGAGCCCGATCTAAAATCCTAGTAGAGAAATGAGAATTTTGCTGTTTTATTTATTTTCTTGCTTTTTTCCTACTTTTTTCAGCCCAAATGATATTGAAACACTTAAAAAGGTGGAAAGACGTCTTATTGTTCTCTGAACAATTAGTTTACTAGTTTATTTATTTATTGTTTATCTCAGTAGTTGTTTTATCTTCTAAAGTCCACGTTGTTCTATTAGTTAAAAGAATAAGCATAATTATTTACTATATAAGATTAATTTATTTTTTTAACTACACGCGGAAACAAATACACGTTTGACAGCGATTCAAATCATCTTATCAAAATATGGATTTAAACATACGTATGTGTAGAATTTATTTTTATTGTTTATTTATTATAATTACTTATTTATTTATCTATTTATTTCTCTTTTGTTTATCTATTGTGTATTTATATTTATTTTTGACATTTGAATTATAGAATAAAAGAATAATTTCAATACAAGGAAAAGACCGAAGGCATTCCGAATAAATCGTTCATCTTGCGTTCACCGTTCGTTCACCGTTCACTTTGCGCTCGCGTTCGCGCTCCGTTCGCGTTCTGCGTTCACTCACCGTTCACCGTTCACACATCGTTCACCGAGTTGCGTTCACCGTTCGCACATCGTTCACTCACCGTTCGCTCTGCGTTCGTTCACCGTTCGTTCAGCGTTCGTTCACCGTTCGTTCACCGTTCAGGTGGGAAAGTAGAACGTTTCAGGGACTGTATACACATTGTATTTAATAAATTATTTTCTTTTAGTTTTAATGATTAGGTTTAAAAATTAGCAATGGTACCATATTTATTTAAGCATTCTTGTAATAATTAAATCAGTGAATCTAGTCCTCTGGATCACTTGTGCTGCGTCATATCAAGGCTGATGACGTCATATTTGACGAAAGGCTTTCTTCTATTACTCGACTGTATCGCTGTTAAGTATTGCAATATTACAAGATTTTATAAATAATCGATAAAATAAATAAATTCAAGTTGTTATTTACGCATGATCATTTCGTTAATTAATTTTTGTGGCTTGTTAAATTTCAATGACGTCACAATTAAACTTTCAATACGATATGTAAGGAATGTGAACTCTGACCTTCCTTAACATAGCTGAGAAGTTGATTTATTTTTTTAAGCAAAACATAAACCCCTTATTTGAAATACGAGTCGATGTAACAATACGTAATTTGAATTTCTATGTTGTTTTTCGTTTTTGCTCTATTTTACAGAGAATGTGTCTACAGATATTATTTAGTGTATTGTTTGTAACGTACTTAATTTTTACCTGGTCCACGACCCGATTTCTGCATTTTTAAAATCTACATCAGTTTTAAATAATTCGTGATAATTAAAAAAAAGCACTTGGATTAATTAAACCCCCCGCAAACGAAGTTAGGGGGAGGTTATATAGGAATCAGTTTGTCTGACTGTCTGTAGGCCCGTCCGTCTGTCTGTCTGTGCAAACGTGTCCGGTCCATACCTTTCTTAGAGAGGAACAATCTACTACCCCACACAGAGATTGCTTATGTTTTAAGGGTGTGTCATGACTTTGCCCCAAGGTTATTTTGGGAAAATCAAATTCACGGGAAGAAAAATTTCATAATTTGTGTCCGGTCCATATCTTTCTTAAGGATAGACTTGGTAAGTTCTTATTTCACAAAAAGTTTGCTCATGGTTAAGAGTGTATCATGTCCTTGTCCCAAGGTCATTTGGGGAAGTTCAAGGCCACTGGAAGAAAAATTTCATTATTCGCGTCCGGGCCATATCTTTTTTATGGATAAACTTGATACATTGTATGTGTCTATTTCACACATAAAATTATATTTCTTTTGACCTGAGGTGTGTCATGACCCTGACCAAAGGTCGTCTTTGCAAGGGCAAAGTTACTGAAAAAATGAATCATTCATGTTAGCTACATATCTTTATAATGAAAAAACATAAATCTGCTACTTCACACAAAGATGGTTTATCATATGACCTAAGGGTGTGTTATGACTTAAGCGAAGATCATTTAACGTCACTGAAAGAAAAATTTCTAAAAATGTGAACGGTCCATATATTTGTTATGGATAAACTTGGTAAATTCCTATTTCGCACAAAAAAATTTTCTTATGACATCAGGGTGTATATGACATTTATTCAAGGTTATCTGTGCAAGTTCAAGGTCGTTGGCAGAAAAAGTTCATAATTCATGTTATGTACATAGCTATATTATGGAAAGACTTGGTAAGTTCCTGTTTTACACAAATATTGCTTATGTCTTGAGAATGTGTCATAAGGCCATTTGTGCACGTCTAAGGTCACTGAAAGGAAAATACTTCATAATTTGTGCTGGTCCATATCTTTCTTATAGATATACTGGGAAGGTTCCCATTTTACACAAACACTGCTTATGACCCGAGGTTGTGTCAAAAATTTGAAACAAGGTCATTTATGCAAGTTCAAGATCACTGAAAATAAAAGTTCATAATTCGGGTCTGCATGGTCCGTATATTTACCCTTTTTTATTAGGCTGCACCTTCTTTTCATTTAAAAAAAATATAATGAGCATTTACATTTGCATTAAAAATGTTTAAGCATTTCTCTCTTCTTTTAAATCCATGAAATGTTCATAATTTAGCATACCTGTAAAATCCAGCGGGAAGGGGGGGGGGGGGTGTTCCGTTTGGGCAGTTATAGTTGTTATATTTTTTTTCACTTTTGGATAACATATGACGTCAAAATAAAAACAATATGACAGAAGATCATAAACTTTCTGAAAGACCCTCGTAAATAAATCATTTCTTACATAAATAGCTGTGGCTGGAATTGTAGACATACGGACATGTTTTGCAGGTATTTTCATAATGTTCCTGTACAAACATTCCACCTGAAGAAAACTCAGCACAGCGTCTGCCTGCAAATAAAAAAAATAGATTTTTAAAAATATAAAAATATTACTAGAACTATTATTATCTTATTATTTTACTATAGAAAGAATATGAAGCAGCAAGGCTAAAAAAATAATTATACTCCGTAAAATCAATTATTTAATACTATTTTCTTTGATATTTCATAGGACATTAGAGAGTATGTCATGTAAAAATCTCCATAGTTTGCAATAATTTCTCAGATTTATATCATTTGCCCATGAAATACATGATTCATGCAGACTACTCCACGTATATTAAAATCGCTTAAAATATATTAAAGCGATATAAAATATATTAAAAATGAATCCCCAATGTTTGACTTTCATATTTTTCTAAAATCAAAGTTATTTATTTCAGAAGAAAAAAGTCAGAACCGTACGTACGCTGAAATCTTACGATGATATTAACAGGGCCGGGTGTGATAATTTCTGCCCCAGGAATTTTGATTATTTTTTTATAATTAATTTCTACTGTTATATTTATTGTTTGAAGATAAAAAAAAACAAATGTTTACAATGTTTACAATTCCGATTTCTTATGGGGCAACCGTTCACGGTAGCCTAGTGGTAGAGCGTTCGCTTCGTGATCGGGAGGCCCGGGTTCGATTCTCGATCGCGGCGCCGCGTCAAACCTAAGACGTAAAAATAGGTAGTGACTGTTCCCTTCGCCAAGCGCTCGGCATCAGAAGTGAAAGTCAAGGGTCTTTCGGATATGACCTTAAAAACGTAGGTCCCGTGTCACGGTAGGCGCTGGCACGATAAAGAACCCTCACTGCTCAATGGCCCTGAGTGCCGAGTATAGGTCTAAATTTGAAGCCCTTCACCGGCATACGATGACGTCTCCATATGAGTGAAAAATTCTCGAGAGGGACGTTAAACAATATACAATCAATCAATCAATCTTATGGGGCAATCTCATAAGTTGTGAAATTTTACTATAAGACCCCCTGGGAGTTAGAAAAGCGCCAAATAATCACATTTACCAAATATTATTTTTTTTTTTTGTATTTCTGCACTAGAAATTTTTTTTCTTCTTATTCAAGTAAATGGAAGTTATGGTAAAAATTCCCCAATTTTTGAAATCTTAAAATAATTGACCATCTAGACTCGTCCAGTAATTGATAATTTTATTTTTGCAAAGCCCAATACCTCTAAAATTGCCATATTGTGATATTAATACATATCAGGACAGATAAATTATCGACGAATTTGATGTCTTCGGTAAAAAAAAATAGCAAACTTTAGATTACTAGTATTGTCTTTGGATGTTCTCTCATCAGTTTTTATTGTATAATATTAATGGACATCTTGAACGAACAAGCGAGTCATGCGTCATTCATCAGTGTCATGCATTGCCTCACAAAATCGGGAAATATTGACGTCATTACAGCCATCTCAATGTTTTTTTTTTCTAGTATTGTTGTAAACTCACCTTCTAAGGCCATAAGGGTTACATATAATGTTTATCTTGTATTAAAATATTTGGCAAAAGTGAACTGTCGCACTATTGACAAAGTCATGCGCATTCAAATTAGACTCGGCCCCGTCTTATTGAATTCTTTTATGTTTCGTGTGAGTGGTCGAGGCCCGTTGAAGGGGTTGTAAAGACACAAGGTGAAAAGCAATAGGAAAAAACCCATCTATAGAGCAGAAAGGACAGTGACTGAAGTACCTATAGTTATTTTTCTTTTAAAAAAAACAAGACGCAAAATATCTATACTACAGAAACAAAGATTCTCCTTTTACCTGTCTGCTAAAAAAAGAGTAGATTCAAACGACCAAGACCTTCAATCCTTCCCTGAATCTGTGAATCGAGTTGAAATTAAACCATGACCATAAATGCATGCTTATTGGAAAAGGGACATGCTATTTTCGGTCACACCATGACCAAACATGACAAATCTTTCTACCAAAGCGACTCTCCTTAAGACGTACATAAGCAAACTGTCAGGGAGTAAGCTTTACAAAACGGGGAGCATTTTCCGCGATAAATGTCACAGGTTACGGAGTATGGAGGACCATTCAATCGATTAATGTAATGTTTCATTGACTAAATGTATTTGATATCGAATAGCTTGTGTGTATACGTTTTACGTACTGTATTTAATTTGGTATAATTACCTTTTATGGGGTTTAACTAATGACAAGCACAATTGCCTATAACTAAAATATTACCAATAACTTCAACACTTTCAGCACATAGCTCCACCAATCTTCTCCCGTACTCATCTAAAATGCAATGGTAAACAAAGTCTGTTGTAAAGCACTTTCGTGGAACATCCCCACAGTTCTTTAGCTTTGCTCGTTCTTCCCAGCTACTCTTATCTTTGGGACAGGAGTTGACATCTCTAACAGTCTTCAAGGACTCTTGGCATGGATTTTTTCTTGTCTTGAAATTATTAAAATTGTAAGTTATTAAGCATATGAAGACATTAAAGTAGAGTACCAGTTACATTTCATTGATTGATAACTTATATCCTACTCTATCAGAGATACAGAGCCATGCTTAAGGCGAAAACGATCTTATGTGGAAAATGTACAGCGAAATGGATGTGAGAGTAATGCAGGAATTTAACAACTTTCATTTCCAATCCAAATGAATGTTTTATAATCAAGGGGGAAAACTGGCAACTAAATGTCACTTGGAAACATGAGGGCAAAGACAAGCACGGTTTTCTGGATTTTCTCGTTTTACGTTTAGAAGATACATACGTATCTGTGTCGATTTGGATGCTGCCACACTTGATGAAGCAAACGCTTCAAAAAGATTTTGTTGTATTCCCTTGTAAATAAGAAGTCTGAGTTTTTTTTTTCTTTGCTCAGATTACATTCCTGTAATCTGATAATTATGTTTCATTACTAACTGATAAGATTCTGCTGTTCTTGCGCACGCTTTCATTATTCTTTCCAAAATCATTTGTTTGCAATTTGTATACCTAGAATTGTGCATAATATATCTTGTCATTTTTAGGTTTAAAATATGGCAGTTTTAATTCAATCTCTTTCCTTCTGCAATATAAATGGAAACAAAACTTTTGTCAGTGTGTTTTATACATATATTTACATTTATTTTTTTAACGTGATTGTCATAAAATATTGCAATTACCAGAGCTCTTTCATTTCTTTCAATGACTGGATCTCTAGTATTGAGAAACAATAAGAAAAGCGAGAACAGGAATAAAACGAATATCCTTTTTACACACAAGGTAATAGGTTGTGAACTTGACAAGAAGCCACTACTCTTCAGAGGGATTGAACTCTCATTATTGGGTTTGTTGAGTAAAATCATCTTCCTGGGTTCAAGTGTTCATTATATCTAAGCAAATGGTGGACCTGTAACAACAAAACGTAATGTTAGACAACATAAAAATATGAATTTCATTTTAATATATTTTTAAATAAATATTGTTTTAAATTATTATTGTAAAGTGTAAATCTCAAACTTTATCGTTTTTTCCCATTGAATAAAGTTTATAAAAATAATGATTACTTTTAAAAATTTCAAAGTCCACCCCCCTTTTTTAAGAAAAAAAAAAGTCTTTATAATTTGTATAGTTGTATCCTAATTTGATTATGTCGCCATTTAGATTAAAAGAAAGACAATTTCAGGCATTCAACAGAACATATATGGAATCAATCTTAAATAAAACAAAGACATGCATTGCAAATATTTAAAAAAAAAAGTTCTATGAACACAATAAAACAACACATACAGAACCGACTGGACCAAACTGACACAAAGCAGTCCTAGGGGACTGATTTCTGGGACTGCTAATGCAGTCCCACAGTGGTCCCAGCGCAGCAAGTCCCACAGCGATCTAAGCAGTCTCAGCATTCCAAGTGGACGGAATTTATTAATTTAATGACCGGAGCTAATTCGAAAAGACATTTCCAATAACCAATGAAACTATGAAATGCAGCTCAAATGGATTTTGATTAGTATGCCAGGAATTCTTATATGTACATGTATGTGGAGATTATATAACTCATTCTTCAGTACTGAGTTCAGATGTGTGACCAAAGGGTTATTTTTAAAAAAATATTCAATTTCATAATTTATGTATATCAATTAAGTCAGTACCCTTCCTGCTTCTGAAAAAAATTGAAGGGAAGATAATCTGAAGTCTTAAAGAGGAGATAGGTGTCCTTATGTACAAGCATGTCTGAAATTTTATGTACGTAACTTGGTGTCCACAGTGACTGTTTTTTTAGAACAATAAGCTATTCTTTTCTGGTGAATCCTTTTTGAAGTATATAGACACTAGTTTGCATGTTTTATGGCATGACTTATTTCTGCCTTATTCCATTACAATTAGAAAATATGTCCAAGACTACCAATGGACACCGTTACTTACATAAGCACTAAACAAGTAACATGTTACTATAATTTAACAAGTTGTTAAAATATGAAAATAATGTAATCAATAAGGTATGATGAAATCATGTTTAATGTTATATTAAATGGAATTTATTTAAAAAGTCACAATTTTTATTTCTAGTTTCAAAAAAGGAGAAATTATGTAAGTAACATGGACACCTAACTCCGAATCAGGCTTAAAAAAAGGAACAAAAAAATAACAAGACAATCGAACACTTGTCTTTAATACTTTTAATATTTCATTTCAAAGCTTAATAATAGACAAGCTTTCAAAGAGAATTAATGCAGACAAGTAAATTGTCGGATGAATAAGTAAATATCCTAGGTCATCTATTTTGAGTCTTGGATCTTTGTGTCATTGTTACGAACATAATTCAGCCATTACTTGTAAATCTGAAAGAAAAAAAATATATATAAAACAAAATACAACATGATGTAATCAACACATATGCTGTTTAATTATATTTATTATATATCCTTGATAAAATCAGAAAGAAGGCAATTAAAGTACAAATTATGTCACTACTTCAACTTTTCGTGTCTCTGTTACGAACGCAATTAAGTAAATGATATGGCAATATTAAAACAAATATTCAATAAGTATTCATCCTTTGATAAGAGCAGAACAAAACTAACAAATATAGAATAAAATATAGTACAATATAACTTTATCATTAATAGATTATACAAATAATGCAAACACACTTATGTTCGTAACAAAAGACGCGAATCAAAAGTCAAATGTTAAACCGATAGTACTCGACTCGGACAGATTTATGCATTTTGTTAAACATTCACTAAAATTGATACAGTATGAAAATACTTACAGAATCTATTATGTTCGTAACTTCTTTTTTTTCCACATGGACACAATGAGCATCGCCATGTTTTTTAGCAGACAGCTGCGCAAGCTTTCTACTTTCGTTTTTAATTTATAATTACACCACTGCTACGGACTTTCTGAGCCAAACTTATGATTCATTGGCTGTTATTTTAGCAATCATACTGAAAGCTATTATGTTCGTAACGGTCAAGACACCAAACATTTTACAATCAGAGATCATTTTAAAATTACAAAAAGAACTGAGTTATGTTCATGAAGCATATTGTTAAAAAATAATTTATCACACATAGTCATTAATTAAACACAGAAACTGAACTTGACAAATTATTTAATGTTTGTAGAGAGGTGTTAAAAAGTTTAATGCATATGGACACCATGCGTTACGAACATAAACCACAAATTTTTAAGTTCAGAAAAAAATAATTAAGATAATTTTAGCATGTTTGACAAAATGAATATATTATTTCATTTATATGCTAAGATAATGTACACAAATATCATGCCAAATGATTTTATTTTCAAATAAAACAACATCTTTATGCCTATTCGAAAATTATGTCACATTTTCTGCATCTGAAATCCCCTAAATGCAACACAACAATGATCAATATTTTTTTTATTCCTCAACCCATATCTTTGAAACTATTTATACTATATCCTTACACAAGTATCAAATCATATCAATATCAATCTATCTGCTTACACTTTATTTATTGGAAAATAAAGGAAAAAAGAAATACATTTTAAAAAATCACCAGTATTGAAGAATGAGTTATATATTAAAAGTACGCGTATAGAATCAATTTGAAATAATATTTATTGAAGGTAGAAGGTATTCACACTTGCACGCATCAATTACAATGAACATGAATATTTAACAAAAATTATCTAATATATGATAACATTTCAGTTTCTTTATTTTATGTGATAGGATAGATGCTGGTTTCAATGTCAATTTTAGCTCACCTCAAGTGAGGTTTTCTGATCAAAATTTGTCCGCTGTTTGTCGTCGTCGTCGTTGTCGTCGTCCTTGTCGTTGAGGCCACATTTGACGATCAAATTTATACATAGGAATATGGAGATTGATTGATTTTATATTGTTTAACGTCCCTCTCTAGAATTTTTCACTCATATGGAGACGCCCGAATATGAAGAAAAAATATTTTAAAGTATTCTTCCCAAGAAGATTAGGAAAGATAAAGAAGTCGGTTCACTTTATGCATAAAATGGCCCTGTAGATATACCAATTTATAAATTAACAGTTGATTTTCCATTTGAGGCATTAAAATAAAATAGAGACTTAGTGCTTTCGTTTTCTATTAAAAATTTTCTCCTAAAAGTCCAGGTCTTGGAGAATTGGCTTTATGAAATTGCAATGTTCTTGAATTTTTAGGTAAACAGGTATAATTGAGTACTTTCAGTGAAGAAAAATAATATCAGCGCACTCTCTGATCTAAAAAATAAAACATGTCTTTTAATCCCCATGAAGAGTTCTATCATTTAGTAGTAGTATATTTTAGATCAGAGGTTGCGCTGTAAATTAAATATTAAAAAACAGGTTTGAAAATTTGCCGTTTTGAAGACTTTTTCAGAATATATAGAAAATTGACGCATTTCATGACGTCATAATGCATTGGCTAGACAGAAAATGACGTCATTTTTTATAGATACGCAGTCACCAAAGATCTAAGTGATTATTCAATGCATTGTTAACTAAAACTATGCAGTTTCAGTTTTTCAGAAATTCACAGGGCCAAATAAGGCAAAAGTGAACCTTGTCCTTTATGTGAAAAGATCCTCAGGTAGTGAAGGTTCAAGTTTGTTCAAATCATGATACCAGGGCTAGGGCGAGGCCACAATTAACGATCAAAGTTTTAACGAGGAATATATAGGAAAAATCTTTTCATGTGAGCGTTGTGGCCCATGAGCCTCTTGTTTTTGATTAATTCTTAAACTCCATTTGTGTATAAATATACAGTCTTTAAAAAATATTATCTTTAATAATTTCTACTTACCGTAAATCTGGAAATTTTTACGTTGGTTTTATTTTGCGAATTCGGTTGAGAATGGTGTTCATTAATTTTTACGTTTCAAAATTTTGCGAATAACCACTGTTTTGTTTATATATTCTGATTGGTAATTTATTTTTAAGAAAATTATTTTTGCGAATGCAATGAACTCGCAAATTTGCTAAAAATTTATCTACAGCAAAAATTTCCAGATTTACGGTATTAAATTATTGTAAGAAATATTTTTTTTCTTATTGTTTTAACTGTAATAAATGCTCAAATTGCTAAGTCGGTTTTTAGAGTTTAGAATTTATTGTAGGTCCAAAAATATAAATTTCACAAATATAATTCAGAACAAATTTCGTAGATAGAACAAACTGAATTTTGCAGAGAATTTCTTGAGATTTCACAAACTGAGTTTAACAAAGAATTGTCCAAAATTAAACAAACTGAATTTAACAAAGAATGGTCCAAAAACTGACTCACTTACAAACTCACTCACATCTAATCTTTGACAATTCCGCCCACTTTTGTACTGACCAGCCAATTAGATTAAGGATAGAAAATTGCAAAAACAGGGGAATCCGTATGACATTAATTTACAACAATGAAATTAGGTAGAGCTAAGAATAACAAATTCAAAGAACACGATCCTAAGATCTAAACATAAAGTTGATAACAAGTATGAGTAAATGACATTGATATCGTGAAACAGGAAAGCGATGTCAAGAATTAGATATTGGTAACATGTGCAAAAGGCATTTCCTAAACATCAAATGAAAACAACTAACTTTTAACTACAGGTGTCAAACAAGATCGAAAAGTAATAAACAATTATATAAAAATATATTCATAATTAATTTGTCATTTAGACACCCTTATACATGTAACACATAATCATTACATAACCCCTCTTTGTTGCAAGTAAACAAAACAATAGTGAGCCTGCAAATTCAGAATACACAAGGGACGGAACTATAATGTAAATCAGAACCTTTTTCACACATGGGTTAACAAAGCAGTCCCAGATAGCATTTCAAGTACAGCTGGGGTTGCTGGGTCTGCTTTCTAGAGCAGTCCAACAGCGGTCCCAGAACA